CCTTCTTGGGGCTCACCACCCGAGTGAATTGGGTTGTGGTCACCAGTTGAGGCCCTTGCAGTCTGACCCCTGGCTACTGAAATAAGCTCGAGACTTGACACGTCACCTTCATGCTCCTTCAAGCCTGAGCTTGAAGGAGCATGAAGGTGAGAGATACCATCAGGTAGATGTTTCTCTGCACCTCTGGGTTGGGGAATGTGTCCTACTGTGCTTTGATTTGTGCCTTGCTGGGGGAGATGCTGGGAGGAACTGGTGAAAAACACCAGGAAGTTCGATCAGGTAGCAGGACAGGATGTTTGACAGGCACGGTGTACCCACAAATATAGTGAGGGCACAAGTGCACTGCAGTACCAGCGTGGCATTTCAGAGGATGGACCATGAGAACTTCCAGTTCGTCCTCCAGAAGAACTTCAACAGCGGTCAGAGAAAGGGTGGGGACATGGGAGTCAGAGCGGCATGCAGACCCTCACCCACACTTTCCCTCTTCATCTACAGAGTTAAACCCTGCAGCATCAAAGCAAATACTGCTCCACACTAAACCTGCACGTCATGTTGCTGTGACAATAAGATACTTCTGGAACACCTGCTATGGATGTAGGCACTGGAACAGCAACACAACAGCACAAACTGAGATGAGTCTTTGTGCTGAAGCCGTCTCACCTTTCCTGAAGTAGATCTCAAAAGCCAGCAGATGAGTCTCCACCTTTTTCCGCACCAGGTTCTTCAGTGGGATCAAGAACTTGACTGCTTCATCCAAAGGATTCTCCGGCTGGAAGGAGGAGTTGTTTCATTAGTAACATGTATGAGTGAGGGCAGCTGCACCAGCTGCAAACATCTGCCCACCTTGGCCAGTTTCTCTGGTATTAGCTCCTCTTTCGGCCCTCCAATCTCTTCGTCATCATCCTCCTTCTTCTTCTTCTGGTTCTTGAGCTGCTTTTCCTTCTCTGCGTTCTTCTTCTCCTCTTCTAACTGGGCCTTCTTCTGTGCTCTTCGCTGTTTATTGCGCAGTTTCTTCAGCTCCTTGTCTGTCAGATTTTCTATAGAGAAGAGAAAACCAGTGTTACGACATAATGCAGTGCCTACTCCAGCTTTGCATGTCTGCTACTTGGTTTTT